TCAATATAACTACATACAATGGTCAAGCACATTGAGAGGAAGTGCAGTGCACAAGAGCCATAACTCTATCTTGACTAATTACAGAGTTATTGCCCTTTGTTACTTTTCCTTGTCCGGGGCATAACTTGAAAACTGCTGGTTGGAATTCAAAACAACTTCATACAATTGTCAAACACAATAAGGGGAAGTGCAGTGCACAAGAAGCATAACTCTATCTAAAGTAATTACAGAGTTATTGCCCTTTGTTACTTTTCCATTGCTTTCTTTTGTCCGGACCATAACTTGAAGACTAATGGTTGGAATTCAATATAACTACATACAATTGTCAAGCACATTGAGAGGAAGTGCAGTGCACAAGACCTATAACTCTATCTTGACTAATTACAGAGTTATTGCCCTTTGTTACTTTTCCTTGTCCAGGGCATAACTTGAAAATTACTTGTTAGAATTCAAAACAACTTCATATAATTGTCAAACACAGTAAGGGGAAGTGCAGTGCATAAGAACCATAACTCTATCTAAAGTAATTACAGAGTTATTGCCCTTTGTTACTTTTCCATTGCTTTCTTTAGTCCGGAGAAAAACTTGAAGACTAATTGTTGGAATTCATTATAACTTCATACAATGGTCAAGCACATTGAGAGGAAGTGCAATGCAGAAAAACCATAACTCCATCTTGACTAATTACAGAGTTACTGCCCTTTGTTACTTTTCCATTGCTTTTTTTGTCTGGAGCATAACTTGAAGACTAATGGTTGGAATTCAATATAACTTCATACAATGGTCAAGTACATTGAGAGGAAGTGCAGTGCACAAGAACCATAACTCCATCTTGACAAATTACAGAGTTATTGCCCTTTGTTACTTTTCCTTGTCCAGAGCATAACTTGAAAACTACTGTTTGGAATTCAATACAACTTTATACAGTTGTCAAGGACATTAAAAGGAAGTGCAGTGCATAAGAGCCATAACTCCATTTTGACAAAATACAAAGTTACTGCCCTTTGATACTTTTCCTTGTCTGGAGCATAACTTAAAACATAGTGGTTGAAATTCAAAACAACTTCATACAATGGTCAAGCACAAAAAGAGGAAGTGCAGTGCACAAGAACTATAACTCCATCTTCAGTATTTATAGAGTTATTGCCCTTTGTTCCTTTTCTTTGTCTTTCTGGACTTATTACAGAGTAATTCAATAAAACTTCATAAATGGCCAACCACATTGAAAGGAAATGCAATATACAAGAACCACAACTATCTTTAATTGCCCACATCCTTAACTCTATATTCAATTCTTTTACAAGGTATTCTGTTACTAGTAACATCCTCATTTCCGAAGCAGTCTTGTGGGGGTATTAATCACATTTAGTGATAGTTCTAGTTTGTTTTATTTTTAAGACACCACAAAAACTTTATGAGTAATTTTATGCATCCATAATATATTGAATTCATGAAAATCACAATCGCCATTAATAATGGAATAGAAACTGATCCACTTTCAAAAATGCGATAGTAGTCACTGATTGGCTGGAGTGGTTGAAAGGTCATGAGAAGTTGACCTCTTATTAGTGACTGTCATGCAGATGCTCAAACATAGTAGTACATTTGTAGTTGCGATTATTTAGGAGTTGATTGGTCATAGGATTATGGCTTACAAAATCAACTTAATTAGAATACATGATCCACATTGAAATCCTATTACTGTAAAATCATATCTCATACTGGGTAATAATGAATTATATGGATTTTGGAATAAAAAATTTTTAGAAACAAAAGATATAATATATTATCAAGCAAGACACCATAATTATTATTCATATTTTAATGGAAGTTTTAAAGGGAATAAAATAGAAGTACATTTATTTTTTTTTTAAACAATAGTTTATTCATACAACAGATAAACAATTAAAGCCTCAGTCACAAAAATAGTTCACAGTAACAAATCTAAGATCACATAACATTTTTCATGATTAAATAATGAAACTATTTACATCTTACAATAAATACAATGTGCAAAAAAAGTATAATTATGCGTAAATTATGCATTTTAACTGCAAGTAATATGCTAGCTTGGAGCAGGCTTTGTTGCAAGTGATATTAAATAAATGCTAATCTGCAATTGATATTGTAATATTATTACAGGCCTGTAAGGAAATAGCCTTCTTGAAGTGTGTTAATTGGTTTATAAATAGCAAAAAATAATCCGGGAGGGCAAGCCAAATGAGGTTTCAAAATTCTTTAAGTTGCATAAAAAAATGTTTGTCATTATTTTTTACAGTCAAACTTGTGATTGTAGCCACTTAAAGCAAGATATGAGTCTTTTTTAACAAATAATCTGTGTTAAAATATAACGATGACTGCTTTATTGAGGTATATTCATATATATGCACTCACTGTGACCTTGATAGTGATAACACTGATTGTGTCCTTGACAGTGATAACACTCATTGGGTCTTGACAGTGATAACACTGATTGTGACCTTGACAATGATAACACTCATTGGGTCTTGACAGTGATAACACTGATTGTGACCTTGACAGTGATAACACTCATTGGACCTTGACAGTGATAACACTGATTGTGACCTTGACAATGATAACACTCACTGTGACTTTAACAGTGATAACACTAACTGCGACCTTGACAATGCTAGTAAAGATGACTAATGTCACAATAGAAAATTTAAAAGAACCAGTTTCATTATTCTTTGTTGTAGTTCACAAAAACTTGTATACCTGCGTGATATTTCTGCAATCATATTAAGCTTTAATGATTTAATGGCTGAATAGTTGTTAACAGTGAAAATGTATGAATGCGATAGGGATTTAATCTCAGATTTGTCAGGATTGAACGCCTGACAACAGGGCTCCTTTCATCTAAATTGGCAAAAAAATATTACATGCTATAAATGAGATTGATCATAGCTTGATTTTCCTGTAACTTTTTCACAATTTCTCTATTTAATCCTTACATGTGTCCATTATTTTGCATTAAGCTAAATGATTATGAAGTATCCAACAACCAACCAAACTGTTTCATAAAGATTGTGAAAGATTTATTAAGATTATGAATAGCAAGTCAACAGAACTGACGGGACTGTTGAATGAATCAAATGAGCATTGAGGTTTGATCAAATGTGTATTGACATTTGAACTAATGAAATGGGTATTGACATATGAACTATTGAAAAGGGTATGGACATTTAACCTGTTGAAATGTGTATTGACATTTGAACTGTTGAAATGGGTATGGACATTTAACCTGTTGAAATGTGTATTGACATTTGAACTGTTGAAATGGGTATTGACATTTTAACTTTTGAAAAGGGTATGGACATTTAACCTGTTGAAATGTGTATTGACATTTGAACTGTTGAAATGGGTATGGACATTTAACCTGTTCAAATGGGTATTGACATTTGAACTGTTTTAAAGGGTATGGACATTTAACCTGTTAAAATGGGTATGGACATTTCACCTGTTGAGATGGGTATTGACATTTATCCTGTATAATGAAATTGGTATAGACATTTGGTCTGCTGAAATTCGGAAAGTTGAACTAAGAATATTATAAACCCATAATCATCAAGTTATTAATATAACTGTTATAAGAGTATTAGACCAGTAACTCTATAATGACCTCCAGAGAAATATGTCATAACAATATGATTATAATTAGTGATATTGTTGTAGCTGCCAGTACCATAATGTTATCCAAAGCTATATTAAATACTGGTCATGTACAAAGCAAGGCCAATTTATGTAATTTGTAAATAGAGTAATTTATTTCTTGAGTAATCTGTGATTTAAAGCAGCATGCCTAGAGATTCATACTAACTTTGATAATGTTTTTTGAAATAAACAAAGAAAATAACTTTAGCATCACAAGTGGCATTTATAATCTGCTTAAATTACCAAAAAAGGATTAAATATGCAAAAATAGCCTTTTCTGTGTTAGTCATGCAGTAGAAATATAGTGATAAACACTGCAAAAACTTGTCAGTTATGGCACATAACATGTAAATTATTTCTAGATTCTTGAATCTTTAATTTTTTTACTTTTCTTAAACTCTTAGTGCATTTTTGTCAAGTTTCTCTTGAAATATTTTGGCTCATCTGGAGGCATGCTGCTTTAATGTTAACCCTTTAATCTATATATGAACAAAACACAATGTTATAAGGGCATACAGGGTATTTAAGAATATTAAAGTTGTGTATATTAAAATACAACAAAAGCAGTTCAGTCAATTTTTCTTTTTTTAACCCAATTAATCTCATTAAAGTTAACAAATATTTAATTGCACTATAATTGAGGTATTAATATTACAGACAATTTGCAATGTCAACAAAGAATCGGGGAGTGGAAAATTGTCACGAAAAACCATCTGGTATCTCTATGAGTAAAACCATACTTTTCATTGATTTAGGGTATTTTTTTTATTGAATTCTGGTATTTATTATTGAATTATGGTATTTATAATTGAATTGGGGCATTTGTAATGGAGTTTATTTGTCATCATTTGTGCAAAGGTAAATATTTACTTGTTTGTACTAAAATTGTCTGATCCCTGTACAAGATCAAGCGTACACAATCATTTGTGTTTTTATGTTCAATATATAAACAAAAATTATGTATGCACATCTGAAAAAAAAGTACTTTGTTAATACAATGATCAAAAGAGAAGATATTTTAATAAGATTCTAAAGGTCTTCTGTAAATTTGTAACTTTTCTATCAATAAATATATATATTATGTGTAAAATTTTATTAAAGTAACTCCACTGAGGTCCAAAAGCCAAAAAAAAAAAAAAAAAAATTCTTACTAAACAAGAACAGGAAGATATGCAATAGATAAATAAGAAATAGATTCAGAAGTAAGTTGAAAATCAAATTTTTGTGCTATTCTTAGTCCAATTTGACAATTTTGGGTTATTTTCACAATAAGAATAATTATTCTGGAAAAAGGGAGTGAGGGAATGGTCTGAAATTTTGACCACAAGTTACTGATTTACACCTACATCAAATCAAACACTAATCTCAAAAAAAAAATTTTAGTCAGTGAAGTCCCTTTAATCATAATGTTCTTGTCCAAATTTGATGACAGTCTGAAAAGTTGCATAAAGTGGAATGCTACTCAAAGAAGAAAAAAAATTATATTGCCTACACTTGAACAACTTTTTTGGTAAATTATAATTTTACTTTTATAAAAATGAAATATATTTATTCAGATAAGTTTTTTTATATACATCTTAAAGGTGGTCAACACAATAAGAGTACTGCTATCATATAGAATAATTAAAAATACAGTGTAATAGTGACAATAAACTGAGCTGAAAATTCAAAACGAAAACAACAATACAAAAATCAGACGCATTAATGATAAAATAATGATAACAGTATTTAATTTTTTTATAGGAAAATGCCTCCAGATTAATATCAATATAGTCATGTAATTAGAGAAAGTTAGAATGAGAAAATGTTTGCAAACAAGGATCATAATGAGCAGTTCTGAGATATATAAGCTTTTTATGGATTCTGTTAACAAAATAAAGAAGTTTGATTATTATTTTCTTTTGTAACTTCAAATGTCAGGAAACTACATTTATTTCCTAGCTATGTAAAAGAATTGTTCAACATTGGATAAATACCCTCGGGATTCATTCCTGTAGGGGGTTTCCAATTGAAAACAATTAATTTCTTAATTTCACATATAGAAGATCTATTCCTCATTGACAGATTGGTACCATTCCACATAGATTGGTACTGTTCTACATTGTCAAATTGGTACCATTTCATATTGTCAGATTGGTTAAAATCAAAATTTTTAGATTGGTACCATTCCATGTTGCAAAAATCTTAAATATACATTGTAGCTGGGAACCAATTCAATGACTAATTTATGATGACATCCAACAATACAATCTTCATACACTTCTGTTGGCATATTCCTACCAAAAATAAACAAACTGAGTCATAAATATATGCAGTATAGTAAAATATAAATAAAGAATAAACATTTAAAAACATGAGGTAATAATGAGTATGACACAAATAAAATACTAGAGCACTTCAGCGCTTTCGTACTCCAAGGGAACCTTTTCTCATTTAAGCTCACATTAGTTATTTTTATTTTAAAATTTATATCAATAACTTTTGAATTAACATTTTGGAATTTAACCAGTTCAGGTGCCATATGGGGAAACATAGGTCATGCCAGGTAGGGCTCAAACCTGTGAGCCCATGGTTGTGAGGCTGACAATTTGACCATTAGGCCTTCACTCCCATTCTTGTTTTTTTTAAGCTCAAGTTTTATAGTTTTGATGAGTTATTATATGGAACTTTTTAATTTCATATTTTAATTAAATGAAGAAAGCACATGAAAAATATGTTAAACATTAAGATAATTTAAGTTTTACAAGAAATTGATAAAATCAAATTTAATTGGTTAAATAAATACATGTAATTATAAAAATGCAAAAAAATAAAGTCGATTTTAATTGTTGTAATTACATGAAACATGTTGATACCCATTTTCATGTATGTGTAGTATTGGTAATCAGTACCAATTTCAGTCAAACAATTTGTGGAAAAGTTTTTTATTGAAAGTTCATTAAAAAAATATAGTTCAATTCAATTTGATGAATGGCAGATTCCCTGGAGTACTGTCATTAAAAATTCGCTGTAAAAGAAGAAATTTTCAAGAATACTATCATGATCTGTATATGAAAGGACTTTTACTTAGTTTTAAATTGTTAACAGTTTGCTTTTATTACAATATATAGGAAACAATGGGGAAAAACTTTTTCTAATACACATCTCAGAATTTCAGAAATGGTTTGATTCAATGATGTTCTTCCTTTATAATGGCCTAGCTGTAATAATATTCTAATGACTTAATGATCTTGAAAATATCTTCTTTTGGGGTCCGTTGCTCATGATTATTAACAACATTTGTTTTTTTAACAAGTATGGAATATATCTGACGAAGTAGTGAACAAATTTTACCATTTTGAATGTGAGTGAGATATCAAAAAATATTATTTTGAAGTCGGATATATTCCATAGTCGAGAAAAACATTTTTTTCTTTTTATTTCTTGCTTATTGACAAACAACAATGAGTTTTGGAAAATGAGTGATTTACAATGAGGAATATGTAGTGAGTGATATACAGTGATTGATATTGATTATATTTCACAGATATGAAATACGGGATTTTATTAATTAATAAAATAACATGATGAATTTATAAAAACAAATGATGATATAGATTTAAATATAATTTACAACAATATTTTACAAACTTATCTATATTTGGCTGTGTAAAAATAAAGATTTAAGATTGAGGTATAAATATAAGAAACTTACATGAGATAAAGGCTCACTCGGGTTATTTTTTTATATATAATATATATGTATATAATTTTAAAAAAAAAAAGGAAATAAAATGCTTAATTGGAATATAACAATGTCAAAGAGTTTTGATCATGAAATGGGATATTTAAAAATAATTACAATTAACCTTTATTTAACTATTAATATACATTGCATTTAAAGCAATAATAAATTGAAAAAGTTTGAAAATTAGTTGGTATTTTTTTTCATTAAAAGTTTTAATAAGGTCTGTTAAAATTGTGTAACATTATGTGGCTGTACCATTTCTCTAATGATAACTAAACATTCAAGACTATTTACAACATTAGTTGATTGTACAAATCACAAAATATATTCCCAGCTTTCTCTTCTCTATCACATGATCTCATAGTCTAAGTCACAAAATATTCTCCAGTCTTGTAACTTTTCTCTATACTAAATGTATGATATCCTAGTCTACCCTTAATCCTTATTCAGGGTTTAAAACCCCAGTTCCCCCTCACTCAACAAAGTTTAAAGGAGACTAGCTTGTCTGCCCAGCAAATTGTGTTAAAAATGTTTAATTGCAATGCCAATGTGACATTCAGTTTCAAAGTCCAGGTGAAAAAACCCATAAGATTATTGCAAATAGTAGATGCACCTAACTTTTCCATCCAGCACCATATATCACCTGTTAGCTAGGGTGACATTGTAATTAATTAAGGTAATTGAACAGTAATTAGCTAATTTTTCTTTTGTTTCTAATCTATCCCAAAGACAATGTAACCACATTTTGGTTTAATTCACTCATTAATTTGATTTAAATTAAATTAATTAGACTTTTATTCAACCATTGAAACAACATTGTAAACTTTATAATGACAGGTGTTGAAAATAAATGTCAAGAAAATTAATAACCACTATAATGTGTGGGTGTTCAGTAAGTTAAAATTGAACCCTTAAAATCAATAAATCAATTTTTTTGTTGTTCAAAATGGAAATTTGGCATTAAGTTGACAGTAAATAAGGACAAAGTGTATGATTAATGAGGGAATAACTAGCAATAAATTAAATAATGAGGTCAAACTTATTTAAGATTCATATTTTGACATAATTGGCAGTTCATTTAGAACAGTTAATATCTAATGTTTTTAATGTCAGGCAACTTTAATTCATGTTAGATGATTGACTCATCACAGCATGATATGCTTGCAAATAAACTTTGCAGTGCCTTGAACTGGTTACTTCCTTTTATACCTTTTTACAGTCAGTTACAGGTGTTTCCATAGTTTAACAAGCATTTTGTATTGCCCTAATTTAGATATAAATTGTACAGTGTCTTTTAGACTATGCGTTAATTGCCCTATTTAGTTCTTATGTACTATATACATATATGTAATTAGTTTATTTCCAATTTATTTATTCTACAATGATACAACTGACTACAATTTGCAAAAAAGCACTTGAAATGACTTCCTTCTGTCACTAGTAATTTTTTGATAATCATTATCTTTTCACATTTTCACTACTTGGCTTAGCTTACAACTACCTTCAGTTCCTTAAATAGTTGAAGATGTACACAGACTTGCAATTCATAGTCCCATTATCCACTGTTTGTCCCACAATCCACTGTCAGACAAACACACTGTCCCACAATCCACTGTCAGACAAACACACTGTCCCACAATCCACTGTTTGTTCCACAATCCAGTGTCAGACAAACACACTGTCCCACAATCCACTGTCAGACAAACACACTGTCCCACAATCCACTGTCAGACAAACACACTGTCCCACAATCCACTGTTTGTTCCACAATCCAGTGTCAGACAAACACACTGTCCCACAATCCACTGTTTGTTCCACAATCCAGTGTCAGACAAACACACTGTCCCACAATCCACTGTCAGACAAACACACTGTCCCACAATCCACTGTTTGTCCCACAATCCAGTGTCAGACAAACACATTGTCCTACAATCCGCTATCAGACAAACACACTGGCCTGACAAAGCATAATCCTTGTCATTTTTTTGTCACTGGTACCTTGCTTGCAATTTTTCTGTGTTGATCAACAGATAATGAATATGGTGAGGAAATATTGTGGCATACCAGATGAGTATAGAACTATGTGACATCATCATCATCATAATTGTAGATTCTTTACCGTAAGTATTACCACAAAGCTAAAAGTTGCCCTGTTGTGATTTTGATGAAAGCAAAATATGTATAGTTAGTGGAGAGAATTTTGATCGGTAAGTAGATGAATGTCATGGGTAAAGTTGAAATTTTGTTCAGGCAAGAAGGCACTAAATTATTCATATTGGTTGTAGAATTGCAAGGGTTCTTGCTATGAGGATTGGATACTGCATTAGCTAATGAGATGCCCTTACTCAATTCTTACTCAAAGAATTGAAATCAAACTTCTCGTTTGATTTTTAAATTTTTCATTATCTTTCATAAACTTATTAAAACTGTCTATAATTTTCAACTATATGATTAGTATTTTATTGCTTGAAAATGATCTCCCTTTTCCAGAATTAATATTTTGTCATTATGAAAGATAGTTATGATATTATACTATATCATTAACTGGGTATTATCATTGTTCTGTCACACTCTCTTTGTGTCACGCGTCTATGTCACATCGTCACAGTCAAAGCTGTTAATTTATAATGTTTGGTCATCAGAACATTCTAACGATTGATGGGTACATAATGAAACATTTAGTGGAAATTATCATCATATTATTCAAACATCCCATCTCACCAAGCACTTTCTTTTTGTCAAGATCCAAAAATTATCAAATAAGTCAGTCCAGAATGTAATTTCTGAAGTCCACATTCAAGTACTGATAACTCCAGTACTAAAATACTAAAGCACACTTTTCTCAGTGTAATTTCTTTAAAGTTTGCATTTTATTTTAAGTTTTACACTTTTTTATTTCACATCTTTATGAGTGAGATCCCTTTCCTGAAAATTGATCCCTTTCCTTTTCTAAATGATAACTTATTAATTTGTTTATATTTGATATTTGGTTCAACTTTGATTGTTATGTTGAATATAAAAGTATCCTTCCTTCATCAAATGAATATTATTAACTTTTTAAACATCCTTTTCTGTCTACCCTTTAAAAATATAGCATTAAAGATTTTTTACATAACAAATGTTTTAATGAAATATGCCAATGTCTGCACGCAGCTAGATACTCTACACGCTTTGATTCAACAGTGGTGTATCACCATTCGGGACAGTCTCCTGCTTCTCGCCAGTTTGTATGACTTTCTGTAGTGGCTGACCTTCATGATGGACCAATGACCCTTTTGAGTTCATTGTTAGACTGTTAGTGTGAAGAACACTGTTCCGTGTACTACTCTGCCCAGATTTGAAATTCACGTGTAGTAGAATGTTTTTTTTCCGACAGAAAGGAACGTTTAGTTTTTTTATGCAGCGATTTGCTGTAAATTTCATCACACGCCTAAACTTTTCATTAAAAGCACAATACAGTACAAAGTTGAGGGAAAGCTCTACCCACACAAGGAAATTTGCAATATACTGAAGGCTGAAATAGAATGATGAAGTTTTAAACTGCTGTTTAGTTTTGTCTCCTCCGAACAAGGCGTAGGCAATGGGGAAGTCGGAAAATGCTGATGGAATAATGCAGATGATGAACAGAAATACGATACTGATGAGTGTTATGGTGAGGCGACGTTGTTCTCTCTGCCACGCTGCCTCTCGATTGTTCCGAATATGTAGCTTTTGCCGCTGTTTTCCTGCTTGATGGACAGCAAACACCAAGTAGATGTTGGCAGCGCTTAATATCAGCAAGGGTAGGAAGTGTATGCATACACTGTATAACCAATTTATGACGAAGAATGCTGTGCTGTGCCGGAACTCTGTGGAATCTAGAATCCACATATCTTTATAGTATCTTGGCTTGAAAACAAGGAATCTTGGGATATTGAATACCGCGGCTGCAGCAACTGTCATCAGGACCTTCACCTTGGCGCTTGCACGATCACATGTATCTTTAGCCCATAGTGGGTGGCGGACAAAAAGGAACCGTTCAACTGTTAACTGAACAGTTATCCATATGCTTGACGTTGTACAAACATTCACGAGACCAATGAATATGTATGCATCAAAGATGCGCCATTCATATGTGTAAGTGTCCTTGGAGAACTCCATGTAAATAAAAGAGAGCATGAGAGCACAAAAATCTGTACATGCAAGACCTGTTAGGGATGTGTAGGGTGATTCTGGCAGTTGATTCTGTGTCAGAACAATCAAATTGATGATGTTAGTGAGCATCCCAAAAATGCAAACAACCGGTCCGAGATGGTTGTAAATCAAATCTCGAACAACAAGATGACTTTGTTCAGCTGTAATTGTAGGAGGTGTCGTCATGTTTGTAAAGTTGTCCATACTTGAAGTTATGTTGTCAAAACTGCTGTTATACAGAGTGGTCATATTTTCAAGGATGTCGTCCATTTTGTACTTGATATCGGGGAAAGCCTGATGTAGAAATTTATTTGCGTCAGTTTATATCATTTTATTCTTGTGACCATGTGCTGTCTGTGACCTGAAAAAGAGGAAAAAAATGTAAAGTAACATTGCTAAATGTTTTAAATAATTTCTAACACCTTTTGGAGATTTTACATTTTCACAGTGTTATTTTGAAGGTATATTTCACTAAATGAGTAATTCTCATATTGTTACTGTGGCATTTACAGCAGGAAAAGCAATATATACCTGACTTTTTTATGTCTAAAGTAACATCAGCTTTCAATTGTTTAACTTCATATTTATTATGCCTTTCAGCATTGTTTAATTTAAACTTATACTCTTTATTACTTTTGCATAACATTTTCATTAATGGTGTGGGTTTTTTTTTGTCAGACAGAGGAAAATCTTTACTCCAAAATAATGTTTTCTTTGTAGTGCCTGTAAGTACCTTTTCTTGAAGATGCAGACTTATCAAGTGTCTATATTTCATTTTTTCAGGAAAGTTTTGTATGAGAACTAATGTTTTTACCTGTATAACAAATTAAGTATATTAAAAACTTCATATGTTATGTATATGTACTACCTGTATTACAAATTACCTGTCTTATACACTACCTGTAATGCACATAATGTCATATTAGTGCAGTAGTGGGTTAACTCCTATTTAATTTAATATGAATTAATCCATAACTGCACTAAGGGGATGACTACCTGCACTGCAAACTACAAATTTTAGGAATAACCTGTTTGTAAAACCCATGTATCACAGACTACCAGTATCACAAACAACATGTATTACACACTACCTGTATTACAAACCCCTGTATAACTAGCTACCTGTATTGTGAAATCCATGTGTCACATTATTACCTGTATAAAAACTAAACAATCAGTATTACAAACTACCTGTATTACACTGTACCAGTATTACACACTACCTGTATTATAAACCCCTTTATAACAAACTAACTGTATTGTTAAACCCATGTTTCACAGATTACCTGTATCACAAACAACAATTGTATTCTGTATTACAAACTACCCCTATTACATACTACCTATGTTACATACAGTCTGGGGCGTCCGTGGCCGAGTGTTTAAGGTCGTTGACTTCAAACCACTTGCCCCTCACCTCTGTGGGTTCAAATCCCGAAAGGGACTTTGGATTCTTTCATGTGAGGAAGCTATCCAGCTAGCTTACGGAATGTCGGTGGTTCTTACTCAGGTACCCGTTTGTGCCTGAAATAATGCATGGAAGGGCACCTGTGGTCTTCCTCCACCAGTAAAGCTGGAACGTCGCGATATGACCTATACTGTGTCGATGTGACGTAAAACCCAAAACAAAACAAAAAACAAATACATACTGTCTTTATTACTAACTTCTTAACCTCTTTGATATAATATAAAATTGATGTGTTAGTTAGAATTTATTTTATAATTATGGTAACAGTTCCAATCATATACTTTTTAAAAAGGTATACTTTTACCCAAAAGATTCCCACTGAAACTAAAACAAGACTCAGGAGTGTTTTGAAAATCTGCTTATAAATCAAAGGAGAAAATATTCAATATTGATTCAAGACAGACATATAATTGTTCCCTTCAAAAATTTAAGTCATATTTAACTCTTGTTAAATTATCACGTTGCTGAATCCAATCTTCTAAATAAAATAAAATATGTTAATTTTAACATGTCTGAATTTAGGAAAACAGATACTGAATTTTTTTGTCAGTCTGTGACTGCTGCCGTTTGTAAGTTATTGCTGTAAATAATACTACCCATTTAATTTACTTTTAGATATTTTCTTTGAACCATTTCCAAAATAATTGAAAGAAATTTGTTACCTGGAATAAGTAATGAGGGTCATAACTTTGAGTGGTAAATGAATTGGGTTACAAAGGACCACAATCTTATAAGATAATAATTGGATTATATAACAAAGGGCCACAACTCTTTAAGTAGTAGCTTTAATAAGTTTCAAAGGGATACAACTATTTAGTGGTAAATTGAATAGATAACAAAGGGCCACAACTAGTTAGTAATAAATTGAATAGATAACAAAGGGCCACAACTATTTAGTAGTAAATTGAATAGATAACAAAGGGCCACAACTATTTAGTAGTAAATTGAAAAGATAACAAAGGTCTACAAGTATTTAGTAGTGACTTGAATAGATAACAAAGGGCCACAACTATTAGGTAGTTTTTTACACAATATATATGAATATTTTTGTTTTCCATTTTATAGATTAAATGATTTCAAGTATGTTTTCATTTTCTGGTACTCTATTTTCACATGTTGCTTTGACAACATATATTTTACTCTGGCAAAAAACATAACACATTAGGGGTGCTGGTATTTTCCATTTGAACACATCAATATTTCATGGTTTTTTTCTTGGAGATACAAAATCAGACTGCATTCACACAAGGAAATAAATAAATTACTGACTGCTAGAGAAATGAATTGATGCAAGACAAAATAGTTACAATATGTTATAGTAGATCATCAACTTGTAGACAAGAATGTTACTTTATGTCAGTGAGAGGTGATGATGCCAGTGTAACATGAACATTTCATAATGTTGTATTGTTGACAGATGTGGAATATTTGAATGTTCACATCTGTTTTAGGATGTTTATTGTCTATTGGTAAACAAAAACACCTCAGAATAAACATGGTGTATGTAATATCTTCTGACAACCACAGAAAACAAAATAATTGAGAAAGAGTGATTGAAATTTTGAAAGTAAATCATTTTTGATTGTTTCTTAATTATCTACACAGCATGGTAATTTTCAACAAATATATGTACAACAAAATAATGGTTAGAATATAGAGGTAAATACAGATTTTGATATGAGCTCAAACTAATAGATTAATTTTAGTAAATCAGATATTTTTTTGTTCATATAATGAAAACATTTTTGACAAATGAAAATTTAGCATGGATAAAAATATGTAGTATCAGATATTTGTTTTTGCCATGGAGTGGGAGTTGCAGGGGTGCTTGGGTACATGATTTAATTTTTTTTAATCAAATGAGAACTGATAGGGAACTGTTTATTATATTTTGTACTTAATAACCTCAGCAACTGAGTTCAGTCTGATGATCAAATGAAGCATGCTATCTTATCAGCTTTTGTACTTGTTTATAGATAAGTTTTTTTAACAGATTTGTAAATGCTGTCAAAAAATCAAAACAGGTATTCTATCACAGAAAAATAAGAACAAAGCAAGTAAGTTCTAATAAGTGTGTATTTGCTCACAATAAAAGCAAAGAAAATTATAACAGGGATGCATCTTAAATAACAAATACAGCAGGGCAAACAAACTGCAGATTTAGATAAGCTGACAAATAAAGCAAAGCAAACAAATTCTTACAAGACTGTATGAGCTGACAAATAAAGCAAAGTAAGTAAAAATTTTCAAGACTGCATGTATGAACTAACAAATAAAGCAAAGCAAACAAATTCTTATAAGACTTTATGAGCTGACAAATAAAGCAAAGTAAGCAAAAATTTTCAAGACTGCATGTATGAACTAACAAATAAAGCAAAGCAAACAAATTCTTATAAGACTGTATGAGCTGACAAATAAAGCAAAGTAAGCAAAAATTTTCAACACTGTATGAGCTAACAAACTGAATTTTTTCAACACTGTCTAAGCTGACAAATAAAGCAAAGAAAACAAATTCTTACAAGACTGTACTGTATGAGCTTACAAACTGAATTATTTCAACACTGTCTAAGCTGACAAATAAAGCAAAGAAAACAAATTCTTACAAGACTGTACTGTATGAGCTAACAAACTGAATTTTTTCAACACTGTCTAAGCTGACAAATAATTTAAAGCAAAGAAAACAAATTCTTACAAGACTGTACTGTATGAGCTAACAAACTGAATTTTTTCAACACTGTCTAAGCTGACAAATAAAGCAAAGAAAACAAATTCTTACAAGACTGTCTAAGCTAACAAAAAAGCAATTAAAGTAAGCAAGATTTTTCGAGACTGTATGAGCTGGCAGTACAAAAAGCAAAGCAAACAAATTCTTACAACACTGTTTAAGCTGACAAATAAACCAAAACAAACTTATTCTTACAAAACTGTAATATGAGCTGACGAATAAAGCAAAGTAAGGGAAGTCTTTCAGGACTGTATAATCTGGTAAATATAAAGCAAAGCAAACACATTCTACAAGACTGTATGTGCTGACACACAAAGCAAATTTATTGGATTCCTTCAAAATTGTATAATCTGATTCATAAAAGCAAAGTAAGCATATTCTTTTAAGTTTGTATATGCAAAGAAAGTGAATTTAAGCAGTTTATTCTTGCTGCCAGTGAAGTGAGAGACAAATTTTGACATATTTCTGGAACTGGGTGTGACATGCCAGTTTTCTAAGAACTTTTTATATTAATTATTATATAATGTGTTACAACTTGTGATCTGATTGAAAATACACCTGTAGCAAAACCAGAAACATTATTGTACCAGATCACAACTCTCTTCCTTTCTTTGAAGGTAATGTTATGAAATGATTTCATAATTTAGCTAGGTACGTCTGTTATATGCATCACATTCCAGCAGAAGTATCTGCATGTATATATAAACATGAAAACTTGCTACAGCTCTTACACTGAAGTGTCATAAATGAAATGATACTGATTTTGTGAATATTTAAAAAAGAAATATTTATTTTTTATTTGTTTATTTATATTTTTTTTTTTGGGGGGGGGGGGGGGGGGGGTGAAGAGGGGGGTTGTTCAGTTGTTAAAGTCCTATGACAACTTCCCAGCTTTACTGATATACTTGTGTAACAAACTAGTTTGTTGCTCATCAGAATTATTAAAAATTCCCTAACAAGATTTAAAGCCATTGGGAAGCATGATTTAGTGATTCCGAATGGAATCCTTTTTAGCAAAAGAAAATTTTAAAAGTCTCTGTTTAAATTGGTTTCATTTTCTTCAAAAAGTATTCCAATTTAAATATTTTATAATCAATTTATTATGTAGGTGTTAAAGCATAAATTACATATTTAATTGTAACATTGTCAAGTTTTCTCACAAAAATGC